CGAACAAGCCTGAATGGTCCCCAGGACATATGCAACTGAAAACTCACACCCCAGAAGTGACTCGAACCCATACTCCCAGAAGCCACGCAACTGGTATGTACAAGACGCCTTAATCCACTTGACCATCACGACCGGACATAATGAGGTGATAGCCGAGAAAGAGGTGAGGTGAACCAAAGAATGAGGTGATTTGGTAAAATGCTATGCCCAAGATAACTATCCGAGTGCCGGCGGTGGGGTGGTTCATATAGCCTCGGCTATCACCTCATTATGTCCGGTCGTGATGGTCAAGTGGATTAAGGCGTCTTGTACATACCAGTTGCGTGGCTTCTGGGAGTATGGGTTCGAGTCACTACTGGGGTGTGAGTTTTCAGTTGCATATGTCCTGGGGACCATTCAGGCTTGTTCGCATTTGTGTTCCTCACGTGTGCCCCAAAGAATGAGGTGATTTGGTAAAATGCTATGCCCAAGATAACTATCCGAGTGCCGGCGGTGGGGTGGTTCATATAGCCTCGGCTATCACCTCATTATGTCCGGTCGTGATGGTCAAGTGGATTAAGGCGTCTTGTACATACCAGTTGCGTGGCTTCTGGGAGTATGGGTTCGAGTCACTTCTGGGGTGTGAGTTTTCAGTTGCATATGTCTGGGGACCATTCAGGCTTGTTCGCATATATATATATATATATATATATATATATATATATATATATATATATATATATATATATATATATATATATATATATATTCACCCCAGAAATATTCGAGCCCAGACAGCCAGGAGCTTCATGAACCTTAGCGTGTCCAGTACTTTCACCAAATACTGGTCATGCTGAGGTGTATGGAGCCCCTGGCTGTCTGGGGTGAGGAGTTTTCTGTTGCATATTGACTTGGGAACCATTCAAGCTTCTTCGCATATATATATATATATATATATATATATATATATATATATATATATATATATATATATATATATATATATATATATATATATATATATATGTTTCATTGAATATGACCGCATATTCTGTATTTATTATTTTCTGGAAAAAATAATAAATACAGAATATGCGGTCATATTCAATGAAACATGTTTGAAAGAAAACCTGCTGCCAGTATACACCAATATAAACCCACATGACCCAGCAGTCCGCAATACAGAGTTTACCTATAGGTATAGGCAAGAGCTCATTCGGCATCAACTAAACAAGAAGAAGGAAGCCCTCCAAACCTTTATAGAGCAGGCGGAGCATCTGTTAAACAAATGGACCCAGTACGACATCCCTATCCAACTCAAGCAAACCATCAACAGTGAACTATTTAACCTGAAACAACAACATAAAACTCTTGTAGAAACAAAGACACTCCGTAAGTTAACATCCCTAAACGGTGGACAGCTAAAAATCCCTCGTCCTAAAGATGGCTACAAAAAAAAAAAAAAAAAAAAAAAAAAAAAACAGAAAATAATAAATACAGAATATGCGGTCATATTCAATGAAACATGTTTGAAAGAAAACCTGCTGCCAGTATACACCAATATATATATATATATATATATATATATATATATATATATATATATATATATATATATATATATATATATATATATATATATATATGTGAGATAGATATCCTTCATTTCATCTGAAGAGTCGGGGTACATAACTTCTGCCAAACCACTACTGTACCTCAGTGCTCCATGAAATAAAAAAAAACAGTAGATTAGTTAAAAAAAACAGTTAACTCAATACACAAATATTTTTCAACCGTTAACTTCAAAGTCATCATTAAGAAGGGGTTCTTGGTGGGAGGAGCAGAGTTGGAAAGGGTTTGGATATAGGTGTACTAGAGTTTACGAAGTATGGTTCAATTTGAAGAAGATCGAAAATGTACGTACCTTGGAAGATGGTGAAAAAGGTAGATTATTGGTAGATTTTGAAGATGGGGGATGAGGGTCTACTTCATGAAGTTTGGAATGTTGGAGGCACAAGTCGGTGCCCGGTTGTCTGTATTTCTGTCTCCCTCTCCATCACTTTCCCTCTCTCTCACCCTCACTTCTCATCTCTCCATTCATTCCCCCTCTTCAACACTCTCATAACGTACAATTCCAGCAAGTAACATGTAGCCACAACGTTATTGTTATTATTGTATTCTATGCTGGAACATTTGTAACATGTTAGCAAAACGTTGTAGTTACGCTGTGTCATGGTTTATCATCGACTGAAAAACTGTCGAAAACTAGTTAGAAAGCAAAATCACGTCTTCAGACATCATTGAAGTCTTTGGGAGTCCCAACTCTTAAAGGAGAGCATTGGGGAAGATTCATTCCCATTGAAAAGTGTGGAAGAGGAAAAAGTGAAAAAATACCCATCTTGAAAAATTGGTTGAGGCTAATCCCAAGCTCTTAGCCTCCAACTCTTGACAGACAAACAAACAGACATTGTCTTTGATAGACATAGAAAGTGAATGGATGAAGAAGCAGATGTATGCAGCGATGAAGGTTGTGTGCAACCAGTGTAGTCACCACTACACTGGTTGCATCTGGTGGATGCTGGCTAGGTGGGAGGTTGGTACAAGAATGTGTGGGTCTGAGACTTACAGCTAACCTCCAGGATTGTCGTGAAGATTAAGTTTGAAGGTTCTGTTTACTTTTCTACTCTCCCTCTGCTAGTAGAGGCGAATGTGCTTGTTCAAAGCTTAATGCAGGAACGGGAGATATAGACGGATGAAAAAAACTGCCGACGGGAATAGGTATGGCGCATAGAGGAGTGCAAATGCTAAATTAAAGACGCTGGACAGAGAATGTTAAAAGGAAAATGGAATTGGAAGAAAATTAGATTTCAGAGTGTGGAGTGACTCTGGCGAGGGGACACCGATAATGACGAACCTTCGGCATCACCTCAACCGTTGACTGAGTGCCGCTGACCGAGTTAGTGAGGGTGACAGGGCAGTGCCTCCTGAGTCACGTGGACCAGGGCCATACAGCAGTTGCAGCGAGGCCTGCAGATACAGTATAAAGACCAGAGTCTGGCCGGCCACCTCATCACCTCCCGCCAGCCCACCAGCAGAGCAACACCTACCGCCGCTATGAGGGTTCTGGTCAGTCTGGCATATCACCTGTGTTTAATATACAAGCGTCTAGGAAGCCTTTTACGTTACTACTAAATACTGTTTGACAATGGAGCTAAGTTTCAAAATCCATATCATATCCCTTATGAAAATAATCATATTAATGTTTAAATATATGTAACTTCCATAGAATTATAGCTGTGACCACTAAAGCGATCAGCAAGTAACATACATGTTGGCTCAAATATTGAACGAATAAAATGATTTCTGGTTTTTATGGACTCCTCGTGCAGCCTCGACCCAGTGCCAGGTGGAGGGGAGGACGCATATTTGCGCAGTGGATTCATTAAGTGAATATTACTACTGCAAAATAAAAATAATTATAATATTAATAATGCGGAATTTAGATCCGTTACCACGCAGTAGTGTCAGAAGTTACTGGGTGGGTGAGTCAAGTTACTGGTGAGTGCAACACTATGTATGTGGTCCAACAACCAAGTAGTCAAGACCTCACTGGAAAGATAGACCTCTCTCTTTATCTTTCACATTAGCACTTTATATGCTAATCTTTCACTGTCCCCCATAGTCTGCCCAGAGAGTACCTGAGCAACAAAATAGCTGGATAGAGGAAGATTTGACAGCTTGAGATAATGTTAATGAATAATTTATATATAATATTGTTGCTCTCAGGTCTTCACTGTACTGTTGGCGGCCTTCACAGCAGCAGAGCAGCAGAAGCGCGAAGCTGAACCCTCCTATGGCAGCCATAGTCACAGCCACGAACACATCCACAGCCACAGCTACGGATACGGACATCCCTCCCACGGATATGGGGGCTATGGCGGCGGCACTGGATTTGGTGGGATTGGTGGGTTCTCGGGGCTAGGTCACGGTTTGGGTGCTGGATATGGCTACTCCGGACATGGCTATGGCTACCCCAGCCATGGCTACGGTCACTACATAGGCAAACGAGAGGCCAGACCCGAACCCGGTTATCGTCATTACGGGCTGGGCGTCGCCTACCACCCATACGGCGGGGCATCGTACGTGGCTCCAAGGCTCCATGGTAACATTGGCTACGGTGGCTACGGCTTCGGAGGCTATGGACGTGGTTTCGGTTTCAGTGGATATGGCCGCGGCTATGGTTACTAGGTCGCCCATAAAGTGTCAACTGTGCAGTGCAAAAAATATAATAATATACTTATGTATATATCTTATATAATGGCCAAAATCGCACTACTTAAAACCACACTACACTACGTATGCATGCCCGATTTGGCTAACAGGCAGATTGGTGTTCGTTATTTTTAAATATAACTTTATAAATTGGTTTATTCCAATTAATATTATTTATTATATTAACTTGAATTACTGATCAAATTTGTGTGTTAGTTCTAACTCAAATTAAACAAAAATCTATTCAAATATAAGGCAATGGAAACCTTAATTCTATAAAACATGTGAGAAACACAATATTTCTGAAAAATTCTGATTGTTAGCCGAAAATTTTCTTAGCGAGCTGAATTTTCCAGAAATTATATGTTAACAAAAAATTCTTATGAAATTATGAAGCTTTCCATTACATTGCATATGATTGATTCTTTATTTATTTGAGTATGAACTAACATACAAATTTTGTCAAACCTAACCTGACCTAACTTAACCATGCCAAATGTAACTAAAAAGTCAGTATTAATTAAAAAAAAATTGGAAAGATATATTTAAAAATAATGAAAATCACTGCCTGTTAGGCAAATCGGGCCTTGTATGCTCGGCCAAGTAATGTGATTCTGGCTATTAGGTATGATATATATATATATATATATATATATATATATATATATATATATATATATATATATATATATATATATATATATATATATATATATATATATATATATATATGATTTTGTGATCGTCAATTGCATATATATATATATATATATATATATATATATATATATATATATATATATATATATATATATATATATATATATATATATATATAATTTGATTATATTCTACTTATGAGACGATTTACTTGAAACTACTATATTGTTAATGTAGTATGTGCAGCATAATTATTTTCAAATTAACAAAATTAATCCCATCTAATTATATAAAATATGTATTAACTACGTTCGATATATTAAATTTTCTCAGATGCGTTATAATAAAAAGTTCTATTGTATTATTATTTCGAATAGCCGAATTTACTGTATTATATTTAGTCTTCACATTATATAAAAAATACAAAATGCGTTATATTTCGTATCGTCGCTTTCATTTAAATTTATCTAATATATTCAGTTACGTTTTTCCTCTATAATAGTTGCTGTTACAACGTCCAAACTACCCGATAATTTTTGGAATACTTTCTTGTAAATAAAGCTTAAATAATTATTTTTTTGTATTATTTCTTGCAGGATTATATCCTGCAAAAAAATGCTGCCTTATCTCCATATCTGTTTCAACATATTCCTATTTATTGTTTATATCTATAAAAAAAAGTCTACTTGCTGGAGGTTGGAGACGAGATGTTGCAGTTAGCTACACACAACTTATCATGATGAACTGTGATTATATGTCGACTGTCATTAGCTGGTTGGGGTTTGTTACGGCCTCACTTAGCCAGTAACCGGGTTCTTTATTTCAATCACTGTGTATGGGACCTTAGTGCCTCTTCTTCATTGATCCCTACTCGAAGTCATTAGTAAGTTATCAAGAATTGGCAGTAACAAGTAATTGTAAAAGGAAAAGGGGGGTAAACAATACTTATCAGCACCTTCACCAATTATACTTCTTATAATATCTCTCTATATATACACATGTACACATCACACTGCGAGTGTCACTTTCGCACAGGATACTAATATAATAAATTCTGTAGTCTTTTTCTACTCCCGGTGAGTACATTTTATCTTCTAGTATACATCATCCAGGATGTAAAGTCTTCACACCGTCGAGTTCACCCTACTCAGTACAATATAGGCCAGTCCTACACCGTATCGTCACGGTGTACAAAACACCCCACTACTTCTTTCCAATAACACACTGGCAGAGGACGTCGATTCTTTTAATGACGTCGACGTCATTAAAAGAAAGGTGAAACGCCATGCAGCTTCTGAAGAATCAACTAACACAACACTTGTACCCCCCTATTAAACTGTTTTATAGGAACTTATTTTCGATGGCTCATAAAACGGAGGAAAGTGTTCTGAAGGATATTATTAATAGGAACGTTATCCCCATAGACAAAAATCTGAAGATACAATTGACAATTTACTACAAAAACAAGGAAACGGCCAATCTACACATGAAGAACTTTCCAGACACCAAACAGAACGCCTTGAAAGAAACCAACGTCGTCTACGCCTTCACATGCCCACTTGGCGACTGTCAGCCCCAAAGATCTCAGTATATAGGAAAGACAACAACGTTTCTTTCTAGGCGATTAACAATGCACAAACAACAGGGCTCCGTCAAGGAGCATATACTCTCCTCACACAACCAAACCATCACCAGAGAAATCTTAACAAGCAACACAGAAATTATTGATAGATATAGCGACAGCAGGAGGCTCGACATCAACGAGGCCCTACACATCAAAAAGTCAACACCAGCAATCAACAGCCATTTAACACATAATTACATTCTACCCACTTCAAGACTCGAACCAACCCAGAGGCAAGAAGAGAAAATATGCAATAATTCGTATTCTGACTATGTAAAATTATCTTTACACCCATGATTACTCATTGGTTCGTGTTTTATCACCTCACCTAAAAAACAAATATAAGTATGAAACGTAACATAAAAAATTGTCGTTGAAATTGTGAGAAAGCTCTTACGAAACGCTTCTAGGCGTCAGACCATAAATAAAAATGTGAAGATGAACTTTGGAGAGTTAATTTTTCAATTACTCTCGACAGTGAAGAAAAACGTAAGAAATATCGAGTTGATTTGTGTTATAATCATTAATCTTACCTTTTCTTATATATATATATATATATATATATATATATATATATATATATATATATATATATATATATATATATATATATATATAATATAAGGGAGGGGACCTGCTGCCTGGGTAACAGCTTCTCCCCCGAATCAACCAACCCTGGCTTTGCGCCCTGGTGAGACCACTCCAGACTAGGACGACACCAGAGTGCAACTCCATAGTCTCCTAAGACTGATGGATGCCTACTACTACTATTAGGGAGTACCACCTCTAGCTGGATGAAGGGGGACCCTTAGCCTCGGAGGAAACCACGCATAACGCATTAGAGGGAATGTTGGGGTCCCCTCCAATACAGTTTCTGTGTGCTTTTCTCCTACCACCCTCTTCCTTTTGTGTTTTTTGTTGTGCTTTATTATTAACCTGACCTGAGACTAATTAAGAAAGATCTCATTAGAAATGTAAGATCTGTTGTCCTTTAAAACTCAACTTCATACATTTTTTCTGCTTATTGAGTGGTGAGATCCAAACAATTTGCAAGCGCCCAGCGAGACCGCTGTCACTTCCCAAGTGTCTCGTAGAGCAAACAAAATGAGATTCGCTGATCTAGATATATTAGTCAGCACTCGATATAATAATAGTAAAGATGGCAAAGTAAACCTATACGATGTTATCCGTCTCTTAAGCAATCTAAATTTGAAAACTCATGACAATTAGATTCTTAAGTTAGCTTGCCTCTCGCTCCTGTATAATAGTCAGCTCCCCACTTAGGCTGGACGGTAGAGCATTGGTCTCGCTTCATGCAGATTGGTGTTCAATCCCCCGACCATCCAATTGGTTGGGCAACATTTCTTCTCCCCCTCCCCCCCCCCCATTCCAAATCCTTATCCTGATCCCTTCCAAGTGTTATATAGCTTGCCGCTTTCTCCTAATAGTTTACGGCCTATTCATGCCCGTGCCACCTCTTGGATGGCTTAATCTTCATCGATCAATCCTGATTGAACCTTCCCTTCCCTTCCCTTCCCTTCCCAGGTGAACTATAGGTAAATACCTCACGGACAGATATTCCTCCCTCCTGCATCTTACAACTCACGTTAGGCTTCAATGACTTGGGTTGTCATTATGTGTCAAGAACATCGTGCGTATATCCACTCGCAACCTTCTATGACTGACTGCAGGGACTGGCACGCCGTGGTCGGCCGTCATGCGTCAACTGCACGTGCCTTCATCACTAACTAGGATAAATGTTATGCTTGGGTAGCCACAACTGTGAATACACACTTCATATGCAAGTGTTCACAAACACTCTAACTAGCACATTAATACCGTAACTTACTTAGCTTAGACTATATTGGAGTTTAGATCATGATTCTCTTTACGTTCTAATGTAACCTTTTACTTTACATCTCCAGGATGAGTATGGGGCCCTCCATCATTCACGGGATGGGCATGGGGTCCTCCACCATTCATAGGATGGGCATGGGGTCCTCCACCATTCACAGGATGGGCATTGGGCCCTCCACCTTTCACGGGATGGGCATGGGGTCCTCCATCATTCACGGGATGGGCATGGGGCCCTCCATCATTCACGGGATGGGCATGGGGCCCTCCACCATTCACGGGATGGGCATGGGGGTCCTCCATCAGTCACGGGATAGGCATGGGGTCTTCAGCCACTTATAAGATAGAACACACAGAAATCACAATGAGAAAATCCACCAGGGCTGTGAGGTGAACGCGAACCTACGACTCGGCATTGCCAAGCCGCATACATTACCTCGAGACAATCGTTGACTTGTTAAAATCATACAACAGGAAGCGTATGTGCCGGGTCGTAGGTTAGCGCCCATCTCACAGCCCTGGTGGATTTTCTCACTTTTAAGATAGGTATGGGGTCCTCTACCACTCAGAGGATGGCGTCCCGTCCTCCACAAATATACCATCGTACTCCACCAACCACAGTATGGGAATGGGAATCACTACCACTCACATGATGTGTATAGTTAACTACCACTCATCTGGAGGGATATAGGGTTCTCCAACTCTCACAAGATGATATAGGAACTACTACTACCACTCACAAGATGATATAGGAACTACTACTACCACTCACAAGATGATATAGGAACTACTACTACCACTCACAGGATGCATATGAGGTACAATACACACTGCCTTCGGATGGATACAAGAAATGTCGTTCGTATGGTAATTCGTTAATTGATTATTTTGCTTTATGACATACTTAACCCAACCTAGTCTAACCAAACCTAACGGAACATAACCAAATTCAGCCTAGTTACACGGTATAAAAGTTGAAAAACGCCTATGTACGATTTGGCTATACGCAGTACATATTGTATGTGTCAGATTTCTCATGTGTACGAGAGCGAAAGAAAAAGTTCGTGTTCGCTGGGATCTGTACGAACCTAGCAAATGGTCAAGAAGCAAGACCGTCTCTCTTTCGTCCAGTCCATGTCGTTGGACATCTATCTGTTAAGTTATCTGTAAATTTAATCCATGTTAAACTCGCATAACAATTCTTTAATTTATCAGCATTGTCACAAAAAAATTTAATATTTTTTTTTTTAGATATATACAAGAGTTGTTACATTCTTGTACAGCCACTAGTACGCGTAGCGTTTCGGGCAGGTCCCTGGAATACGATCCCCGCCGCGAAGAATCGTTGTTACAACCAAGTACACATTTTACTGTTGCGTTAAACAGAGGCTACAGTTAAGGATTTGCGCCCAGTAAATCCTCCCCGGCCAGGATACGAACCCATGACAAAGAGCTCACGAAACGCCAGGCGAGTGTCTTACCACTACACCACGGAGACGTAGAATTTAAATTAGAATTGTAGAATTAAATGCTTTGATGCTTGTAAATGTTAACTTGTCTTTCAAGTTTTCAAAGGGTGTATATGGTTTGTAAGGTCAATTAATGATTAACCTGTTTTGCCCATATCTCTATCATTCAAAATGCTTTTGCTATTTCAATCTAATTTGTATCTCTTGGTGAAACTTAGGTTGTATTTTTAAAGAGTTGTATTTTTCATCAATAAATGAATCAGATAAATATACTACAAACATTTTATTGTAATTTTTGTCTAGTTATCCGATTACTATTAATAGATCGCTACTAAAGGTTTTTATATGGCATCAATGGTCATAAATTCGACGTTTTCATTCTATAGGCATTGAGTTTTAAAAATAAAATCGTCTTGGCCTTGAGTCTGCAAATATAATATTTGTGATTTTCTTTTGGTTTAATTAGCTTGTTCACTATGTAGTTCATGGAGCACGCGGAGTGAATAGAGGTGTAGGAGCAGAAGCTAAGACGTGCTGGTGACAGATGTTTAATGATTATGGAATAGCGTGAAGCGGAATGGTGAACTGATGGTTGAAACTTGAAGAAAGCAACAGGTAGGTTACCTGCTACTCTCCACATTGTCTACCATTCCCTTCCCCTAGCCATGGACGGTAACGCGACGATCATCAGTAAAGGTTAACTGGGTGTCACTGAACATAGTAACAAAATTGGGTGTTGGTGACACGGGAGCGTCTCGGGCGAGTTACCAGGGCCAGGGTCAGACAGAGGGCGTATAGTGAGGCCTGCAGTCGTGGGACAGTATATAAAGACTAGAGGGTCGAGTTGATCCACACCACCCACCGCCAGTCCACCAGCACAGCATCACCCACCGCCATGAGGGCTCTGGTGAGTCTCCAACACTTTCACTGTGTTGCACCTCACTGCACAAGCGCAGCACTGTCAGCTATATGAACGAAGATGGTCTTCATTCTTCTTGTATTATTTGTTTTTTGATATTTATAGCTAAGTTTCAGATTCTCTGAATGACTAGCTTTTTCATGCTTCTCTTTAATGTAAAACAATTCAAAGTTTTTTACCTTTCACTGGAACTGAATAATACGAAGGAAGACCCCCATAATAACTCCCCTATCGCCTTAAACAATTATAATTGTTCCCTGCACATTAACTTATGACCGTCATGAAAAGCAGACTTGGAACAACAAATGGTGTTTCTTGACAGTCAACAAATAACAGTTTCTAATTTCAAATGATCATTATTCTTTGAATGTATTAAAATATCTTAGCAGCAAGGAATCAAAATCCACAAGCTTGAAATCAGATGAGAAGTGAGTTAAGTAACATGTAGTGTGTTCCTGAATACCCAAAGTCAGCACTCAAACCTTCGACCTATTTACTAGTAGACAAAATTATACTAAATTATATACAAATAATTCAACGGTAACAAGTACTACAAGCGCAAAGAATATATTCAATAAGTATAGGGGAAACCCATACTGTTGACGAAATTTGTTGATGTGTGAAACTTTTAACGTGTGTTCGTCCCTCAGATCATCGTCTTGTTGGCCGCTGTTGTGGCAGCGGAGCAACACAAGCGGGAGGCTGAGCCCTCCTACGGCGGCTATGGAGTAACCTACATACGTGGACCCACAGTCTACAGATATGGGGGCTACGGTGGTGGTCACGGACATGGCCTGCACGGTGGTGGCTTCGGACATGGCCTGCATGGTGGTGGCTTCGGACATGGCCTGCACGGTGGTGGCTTCGGACATGGCCTGCACGGTGGATCCGGCTACGGCTACCCCAGCTACGGCTACGGTGGACACCACATCGGAAAGCGCGAGGCCGACCCGGAACCAGGCTACGGTCACCGATCCTACAGCATTTCTTATGTAGTCCCTAAGTACTACGGCGGCCACGGCTACGGAGGACACGGACTTGGCTTCGGAGGACATGGACATGGCTTCGGAGGACACGGACTCGGCTTCGGAGGACACGGACTCGGCTTCGGAGGACATGGACTTAGCTTCGGAGGTCATGGACATGGCCTGCATGGTGGATACAGCTACGGCTACCCCAGCTACGGCTACGGTGGACACCACATCGGAAAGCGAGAGGCCGACCCGGAACCAGGCTACGGTCACCGATCCTACAGCATTTCTTATGTTGTCCCTAAGTCCTACGGTGGCCACGGCTACGGAGGACACGGACTTGGCTTCGGAGGACATGGACATGGCTTCGGAGGACACGGACTCGGCTTCGGAGGACATGGACTTAGCTTCGGAGGTCATGGACATGGCCTGCATGGTGGATACAGCTACGGCTACCCCAGCTACGGCTACGGTGGACACCACATCGGAAAGCGAGAGGCCGACCCGGAACCAGGCTACGGTCACCGATCCTACAGCATTTCTTATGTAGTCCCTAAGTACTACGGCGGCCACGGCTACGGAGGACACGGACTTGGCTTCGGTGGACATGGACATGGCTTCGGTGGACATGGACTTGGCTTTGGAGGTCACGGTCATGGCTTCGGAGGTCACGGACATGGCTTCGGAGGTCACGGACATGGCTTCGGAGGTCACGGACATGGCTTCGGGGGTCATGGTCTCAGTCTTGGTGGATATGGCCGCGGCTATGGTTACGGCCGTTAGATTATTTTCTGTAATTTGACACATGAATTTCAGATATATATTAAAATTATTTTTCAACAATCGGAAATTTACTTTAATTGCGATATCCTGAGGAATTGTATAATGGAATCCGACCGTTGAGGAGGTATTAATCTTATGATATTTCAAATATAGATTTTTATCCTATTATTTTATGATTATTTACTGAATTAGCTCTCGACGAGTGTCAAACAACATTACTATTGCGGTTGAAACGTTGATTAAAAGCCGAGTAAACGAAATAATTCAATCAAATCGAAGAGTTTATTCATAAATGGATGTTTAATTATATTTAGGAAAGATTACATAAAAAATACTGTACAATAAATTAACTTTACATACTCCATATGCACACAAACGCCTTACGCACACACATACAAAGGGACAGTACACAATAAAGGGAACTACCTATCTGTAATAATTCGAGAGAGAGTGACCTGGGAGTAGACGTAACACCTAATCTAACTCCTGAGGCACATATAGATAGGATAACGACAGCAGCGTACTCTACGATGCCAAAAGTTAGAACATCATTCAGAAACCTAAATAAGGAGGAATTTACTTTACGCTGCTCATGTGAGACCAGTCTTAGAGTATGCAGCCCCATCATGAAGTCCCCACCTAAAGAAACACATAAGGAAACTGGAAAAGATTCAGAAGTTTACGACGAAGCTCGTCCCAGAGTTACGAGGATTGAATGAAATGAACCTGACGAAACTAGAAAAAAAGAAGGGAAAGGGGATATGATAGAAACATATAAAACACTTACGGGGATTGACAGAATGGAAATAGACGAAATGTTCACATTGAATACCAACAGAACAAAGGGACATCTGTGGAAGCTGGAAACTCATATGAGTCAGAGATGCTAAAAGGTTTTCTTTTTTCGTTAGAACAGTGGGAAAAAATAATGAACTTAAGGAGCAGGTTGTGGAATCAAACTATAATTTTAAAACTAGATATGATAGGGTAATAGGTCAGGAGTCATTGCTATAAACAACTGGCGGCTAGAAAGGCAGGATCCAAGAGCCAATACTCCATCTTGCTAGCGCAAATAGGTGAGTACACACACACACACACACACACACACACACACACACACACACACACACACACACACACACACACACACACACACACACACAAGGTGCATAAATGCACCTTGTGTGTGGTACTGCATGACACATGCATGGTGCATAAGTTGGAGAAACTGGCTAGAATAGCTGGTAAGGTGGTCCAGTGGATAAGGGAGTACCTAAGCAATAGCAAGCAGAGAGTTACAGTGAGGGGTGAGACCTCAGATTGGAGTGAAGTCACCAGTGGAGTCCCAAATTGCTCTGTACTCGGGCCTATCCTGTTTTTGATATACGTAAATGATCTTCCAGAGGGTATAGACTCATTCCTCTCAATGTTTGCTGACGAAGTCAAAATTATGAAAAGGATTAAGACAGATGAGGACTGCTTGAGGCTTCAAATAAACCTGGACAAACTGAAGGAATGGTTCATAAATGGTTGTTAGAGTTTAACCTGAACAAATGTAATGTAATGAAGATAGGTGTAGGAAGCAGGAGGCCAGATACAAGGTATCATTTTGGAAATGAAATTCTTCAAGAATCAGAGAGAAAGACCTGGGGCTTGATATAACGCCGGACCTGTCCACTGAAGACCATTCAAGAGAATAACATCAGCGGCATATGCCAGGTTAGCCAACATAACAACATAAGAAGGTTAGCCATAGGTTAGTTTCTAACCAACGGTCTTTAGAACCTTGTGTAAGGAATCATTCAGAACCTTGTATACCACATATGTCAGAGGAATCCTGGAGTATGCAGCTCCAGCACGGAGTCCTTATATCGTCAAGCATAAGACTAAACTGAAGAAGGTTCAAAGGTTTGCCACCAGACTAGTACCCGAACTGAGGGGTATGAACAATGAGGAGAGACTACGGGATTTAACTTCACGTCGCAGGAGGAGAGAAGAGTTAGGGGGACATGATTACCACATACAAGATTCTCAAAAGAATTGATAGGGTAGATAAAGACAGATTAGTTAACACAAGGGGGCATACGAACTAGGGGATACGGGGAGAAATTGAGTGTCCAAATGGGCCATAGAGACATTACAAATAATTTCTTTAGTGTTAGAGAAGTTGACAAATGGAATGCTTTAGGAATTAATGTAGGGAGGCAGACTCCACACACAGCTTTAAGTGTAGATATGATAGAGCCCAATAGACTCACGAACGTGTACACCAGTTGGTTGACAGTTGAGAGGCGCTATTTTGAGACTATCTTGAGATGATTTCGGGGCTTAGCGTCTCCGCGGCCGGTCCTCGACCAGGCTTCCTTTTTGCTACACACCCCAAGAAGCAACCCGTAGCAGCTGTTTAACTCCCAGGTATCTATTTACTGCTAGGTAACAAAGGCATCAGGGTGAAAGAAACTCTGCCCATTTGTTTTCACTTCCACCGGTGATCGAACCCGGAACCTCAGGATTACGAATCTGAAGAGCTGTCCACTCAGTTGTCAGGCCCAAAGAAACGTGATCAAAGAGCCAGAGCTTAACCCCTGCAAGCATAATTAGGTGAGTGCACACACAAATACTATAAGATTAAGAGCTCGTGAAACAGAGCCTGATTTAATTACAATAATGAAAAAATAAACGATAAATATTTACAAAGATATACCAAGTAATAAGGAGGCAAAGAAAATAAAGGCACGGAGAAGGAGTGGCACTCCTAATTAAACGGAAGTTGACGTTTGAGGAGAAAATCAGGATACAAAAATGGAAACACGGGCTCCATAACTGGGACTCTGAAAGCTGATTAGAAAATGGTAGTGGTCCTGATAATTTAGAATAAGCAAACAAGAGACGCCCCATGACAGGAAGAACAGGTACATAGATGAATTGTAGAGATCAGCAACAACAGCACAGAGAAGATTATCTTATGTCTGACATGTGTCCCCTGAACACTGGTCTTCTATAAAATTTTAGGTTACGGAGCTAAGGTAAATTGAACCCGCTCAAAACAATTTATGACTACTGAAAAGACACATTACACATTTCAAATCTCCTTCTTCAAAGCACAATTAATATGCTAATAACAGTAATTTAAACTAAAACCACAAATTCTGTTGAGTCAAAAAGAGGCATCGCCTATACTTAATCCCAGATCTCTCCACTTTGTCTTTGTACCAGATCTCTTCTCTTTGGCTTCCTCAACACCTCGAGTCACGCTGAGTCAAAGTAATGCATTGTTTATTTTACGTTTGCTATAGAGGCCTCGTCCCTGTTTTATGAAAAAATTACCAAATAATAGAGTTCCTCCTCTCTCTCTTCCTTAACTTCTACATTTAGGAACACTAATGTTCACATCTTATAAGAGATGGTGAAGTATTTGTAACATTGTTACAAATTAAATGACAATAAAAATAAAAGAAAAAAATTATTCATATGTGCCCGTCATCACAGGGGCTGTGGAGTGAACAGATTGGTACCGAGCTGTGGAGTGAACAAATTGGTATGGGGCTGTTGAATAAAAATATGGCCACAAGGTCTGTACATTTTTTTTACATTCAAATGAAGGACTGGCATTCACTGTAATATTAACCTGGGCTCGGACATTGAGGATGACGTAAGGAGTCATGGCTGGTCGCGTCACCCTCTCTAACATAAGCAGTAATGGCTGACTGAGTGCCACGGTGCATACAAAATTAGGTGGTGGTGACACGGGAGCGTCTCGGCCGAGTCGCCAGGGCCACGGTCAGTTGTGGGTGTGTATTGAGGCCTGCTGGTGAGGCACAGTATATAAAGGCCAGGGGGTCGAGCTCATTCACATCACCCACCTCCAGCCCACCAGCAGAGCAACACCCACCGCCATGAGGGCTCTGGTGAGCCTCCATTGCGTTCTTGTGCAATACCTCACTTCAATAATGCTACAAATTTAACTGTCAAAGCAGATTTTTTAAAATTACTCTTTCATTCATGTCCAGTTATTTTGTTTCCTCTATCTCAAAACAAAATTTAATTGTCACTGGGATTACTGTTAACATTCCTAATTAACTTGTAGCACAGCATATTTTAAGACCTTTTCTTTGAACTGGCATTATTTTTTATTTTTTAAATATTTATCATAAAACGAAATCTTGTAGTTTTTTCTCCAAACGGTTGTGTTTCATCCACTTAGAGTGGTTAGTTCAGCAACGGTCTCGTTTTTTGCCGAGCTTGCGTTCGATCCTCAATGGACTACATGGTTAAAGCCTTCTTCCTTCACTCCATCCACATATCTCTACTTTTTATCCTCATAGCCCTTTCAAGTGCTATATAGTCATTCTGGTTTAGGGCTTTTCTTAATAGTTACCTTTCCTTAACCTTTTTATTTGACATGAGATGATTTTTTTAATATAAACGCTTAATTTTAGTCTAACTCATTTTATGGAAGCATGTCGTGATACAGTAGTGAACGCCCTCAACATGTTCGCAATAAAAGCGAGAATGACTTGGGTTTGAACCTTAGGAAGAGTTGGATGATTGATCACAATTTCCTTACTATTCGTCAATGTGCACCAAGCAGTAATTGGGGTTCTGGGATATAAAATGACTTGCTAATCTTTAAGGGGATATCATGACTGCAAATAATCAGACCGTTTTCTGCACTTTAACTTAGATCGAAGCTCAAATGAACTTACTTAATACCCTCCACAAACCTTCCCCATCAAGGACAAAAAATCCATGATACATATTACCATCTAACATATGTTGAATCTCCCTACATAAAAAAAAGCACAACCAAATTGTCTTACAATGAAAATTATAGAATTTATTCAAGCTGACATATATCAATCTAATTTTAGAACTCTTTATGTCATTACAAGATGCATGCAAGATGCAAAGAAGGTCGATAATCATCCAAATTTTCTACAAAAAAATCTTATCAGTCTAGAAACTGGAAAAATGGTTATAAATACTACAGCCTTGAGGCTATTATTATTACACTTTAAAATAAGTTAGCTAAATAATATGCAGTGTTAAGAATCCATTAATTAACAAAGGATAACTATAAGCGATGATGAATGAAGCAATTCTAGGAAGACTGTGTTAAGAACTGAGGCTTTTAACGTGTGTTCGTCCCTCAGATCATCGTCTTGTTGGCCGCTGTTGTGGCAGCGGAGCAACACAAGCGGGAGGCTGAGCCCTCCTACGGCGGCTATGGAGTAACCTACATACGTGGACCCACAGTCTACAGATATGGGGGCTACGGTGGTGGCCACGGACATGGCCTGCACGGTGGTGGCTTCGGGCATGGCCTGCACGGTGGTGGCTTCGGACATGGCCTGCACGGTGGTGGCTTCGGACATGGCCTGCACGGTGGTGGCTTCGGACATGGCCTGCACGGTGGATCCGGCTACGGCTACCCCAGCTACGGCTACGGTGGACACCACATCGGAAAGCGCGAGGCCGACCCGGAACCAGGCTACGGTCATCGATCCTACAGCATTTCTTATGTAGTCCCTAAGTACTACGGCGGCCACAGCTTAGGTGGACACGGACTTGGCTTCGGAGGACATGGACATGGCTTCGGAGGACACGGACTCGGCTTCGGAGGACATGGACTTGGCTTCGGAGGTCATGGACATGGCCTTCACGGTGGATACAGCTACGGCTACCCCAGCTACGGCTACGGTGGACACCACATCGGAAAGCGAGAGGCCGACCCGGAACCAGGCTACGGTCACCGATCCTACAGCATTTCTTATGTAGTCCCTAAGTACTACGGTGGCCACGGCTATGGAGGACACGGACTTGGCTTCGGAGGACACGGACTTGGCTTCGGTGGACATGGACTTGGCTTCGGTGGACATGGACTTGGCTTTGGAGGTCACGGTCATGGTTTTGGAGGTCACGGACATGGCTTCGGAGGTCATGGTCTCAGTCTTGGTGGATATGGCCGTGGCTATGGTTACGGACGTTAAATTTTCAGTATCATCAAACCTGTGAATTTTAAATCTGAAATAAATATTATTTTTCAACATATGTACTTGTATTTGTATCCAGTTATAAATCTGAATCTGCTTTATATTAGTCACTGAATATGAGGGTATTTCTAATGCTGACCAAACCACACACTAGAAAGTAAAGAGACGACGACGTATCGGTCCGTCCTGGACCCATATGAAGTCGATTGTCACGATATTAAGTCACAATCAAGATTGTGACATTATCAAGTCGCAATTGACTTGATAATGGTCCAGGACAGACCGAAACGTCGACGTCACTTCAATTTCTAGTGTGTGGTTTAGTCAACATTTTTCAGCCACGTTATTGTCACTCTTCATCTGTGTATTTCTGATAATTTATATTACGTTCCGAGTTGAGAAACTATTCATCAGCTGACTTTAATATAAATGTGAATTAGCAGTGATCAATCGTCAACTCAAAATAATAATTATCGAATGTCATCTCAAATTACTGGAGAGAAATTCATTCAGTATTGACACAGTAGCCTAATACTTTCATTTAAATGATAGATGGATATACAGGGGGTATAGATTGATAAATCAATGGATAAATGGATTGATGGATGGATGAGTAGATGGATAGATTAATGGATAGTTAGATGGATAAACAGACGCGCACATGGATGAATTGATGGATGGATAGGTGGATAGCTAGATGGATAGGAAGATGAGTAAATGGATAGATAGATGCATATATGAATACGTGGATGGATAGACGGTTAGATATTACTGATAGATATTATGGATAAAATAAGGGTTGAAGGGGTTTTGTAGGATTACGTAATATCTAGATTAGGTTCATAATATTAAGAGTTGATGCTCTTTTGCTCTATAAGGAATGTAGGATAAATATACATCGCACATAATATCGGAGAGTGTTGTGGTTTGGAGAATAACCACCATGCTGAGACATGCCCAAGCACCATTGGGGAAGAGACCCTGCCCAAACGTAACACTGGCGACAAGGAGTAAGAGCGGATGAGGAAAGTCCAACAAGCAGACGACGATCAGAATATCAACCCGTCGTGTGGATGGACTGGAAGAACTATAGACATCAGTAAGTGTGCTTAACCGCCGTAGCCATGGCTGCTACTTCGATCCAATTCAAGATTGAACCGTTTTATGAGGCCAAGATCTCGCTAGACCTGTGGCTGTGCCTGCTGGAGGAAATGCTTTGAGTACTATGGAATTATAAAGGATGCAAACAAGAAATTGGTACTCTTAGTTTCCCTATACAGCAGTATATAGTGAACTGGGAAAGGGAATTGTAATCAGAAGGGTGAAATTTGAAATTAATGGGAAGGTAGTCCTTTGGAACTGGACACAGATGCTGCAGTGTAAATATTGTCTAGAGATTGGGCAGATACCGTGGAATTAAGTGTAAAAACCCTGTGGAAAATTATTATGTGCCAATGATAATGTACATATTAACGTCCATGGCAAGGTGTCAGCAAAAGTAGGCTATAATCGGAAAAAAATTGTCCATGATTTTTATGTAGTGGATTTACATAATTCAAGCCTATGTGGAAAAAGACCTCATGAACAACGTGGGAATTTTCCTAGCTGGCCTCAAAGAATTGTCTATAATGAAAAAGATAAATTGTACAGAAGAGATGCTGGGAAAATATGCATTGGATGCAGATAAACCAATTACTAGCATGATGGCAAAAATCCACCTTAAAGGCGTTGCTTTACTTATTTTTTTTAGAACAAGATCAGTTCCTTTCCATTAAAAGCAATTAGTGGAATTACCTCTTGAAAGGCATGTGGCAGAAGGCATTTTAGAGCTAATTTAGAGCTGCATATAGTGAATGGATAGCCTAAATTGTACTAGTGTTGAGAGCAGAGAAAATCAATGAGACTTGGTGCTGATTTTAAAGAATTAAATAACTGCATCCATTGTGATATATAACCTGTACTGAATATAGAGGAGTTATTATTAATCGTTTGCAAGAGGGCAATATTTTCTAAGATTGACTTAAAGGTATTTGCAAATTCATGTAGATGAGGAGAGCCAAAAGTTTTTCTCATGCTAATAATAATAATAATACTCATAAAGAAATAATACTCATAAAGGGTTAATCAAGTATAAAAGACGTCCTTTTGAACCCCCCTCCTCGTCTCTAGCAATTTTTCAGAGATTCATATCACAACTGGTAGTAATGAATGAGGGTGTGGCTAGTTTTTTGGAATATATCATTGTATTGGGAGAGTATGAAGAATAACATGATACTAGATTATTAATGATTTTGAATCTTTTGTAAGAACACAATGTGTAGATTAATAAGAGTAACACTGTAATGAAGACCAAAATCCATTGATTTGGGGCACTATATTTATGTAAGGGCTTTAGAACTCCCAAAAATGTAGCCGCTTTAGTGGAAGCTTCTTCCCTGACATTAGTGGAAAAAGTCTTTCCTGGGGATGGTAACTTATTTTTGTAAGTTTGTTCAGAATTTTTCAGCACAATTAGTTCCATTGTGTGAATTGTTGAAAAAAGGGGTTAGATTTAGATGGTCATCAAGAGAAGAGAATGCTTTCAGGAATATTAGGCTGGAATTGGTAAATTATCCTGTGCTCTCTAATTTTAAGGGCAACTGCACGATAAGTCTAGAGGTAGACGCTTCCCCGGTGGGGAATGGCTGTGTTTTATTATAGGAAATAGAAGGTCAGGGAAAATCAATCTATTTTTCTAGTAAGAAATTATTTTCCGCATAGCAGAATTACTCCAAGTTTGACAAAGAAGGTAGGTATATATGGTATAGGTATATGCTGTAAAAATGATGAAATATTTCCAGCAGGGTAGGAAACAACATTCCCATACCCATCCCGTGGGCGGTGGTGGAAAGGGTTACAGAAGCACATAATTGGTTCAGGAACTGAACCCCATAGTTCGTTTAGCTAGGCAAGTAACAATCTTTTGAAGCTAGTTACACAATTATTAATGTTATATATATACATGTACATATATATACAATCATTTACCCGTAGAGGAATATCACTGACCAACCAGCAGTATACTCAATTCCTGAACATTATCCAAGACAGACGAAAACTCTCATCGTATTTTGTAACTAGCGTCAAATATTGTTATTTGCTTAGCTAAACGAAATAGAGGGTTCAGTTCCTGAACCGATTATGTGCCTCTGTAATCCTTTACACCACCGCCCACGGGATGGGTATGGGGTGCATAATAAAGAAAGAAATTGAATTGTATATACATCGAGAAGTCGGGCACATATATCCTCTCCGTGGATATATTTATAACTTCCCACACAATTTGAAAACATTTCGAAAAATTTGAAAACAATGAATCTTTTTTTTCTAAATATATGGTTAAAAATCTTGAAAATGGAAAAAAAGCTCCAAAAAGTTCAATATAATTTTGTAAGTATACATAATTTTATATTCCCGGCGTATAACATAAATACTTCGATTTCGTTTTCCGGAAGTTAAGCAGCTGTTATGGGTTGCATCTTGTAAAAGGTCAATAGGAGGCCTAAGAGGATCTTGATAAACCTAACAGGCTTCTTGTCCCTGACAATGGGAATTATATTAGTTATCTAATGAGCTATTATATAACTCATAATGAGTTATATTACGTCCTTTAATTTAGAAATAGTCTCCCCCCGTAGTTTTTCTTTTTCTCTTATAGAAATCAAGGGAGTGTGTAAATAAATATAGTAGACTTAAATAAAAAGTATAAATTTTGGACTTCAAACATATTTTTTTTTCTATTCATATATAGAAGAGTTCTTACATTCTTGTACAGTCACTAGAACGCATAGCGTTTCTGACAAGTCCTTAATCCTAATTTTCACACATACACATCCCCAGGAAGCAGCCCGTAGCGGCTGTCTAACTCCCAGGTTCATATATAATGCTAGGTAACTGGGGACATCAGGGTGAAAGAAACTCTGCCCATTTCATTTCTGCCATAACCAGGGATCGAACCCAGACCCTAGGATTACGAGTCAAGAGCGCTGTTTCCCTCAGCTATTAGGCCCTCTAGTGTGTGATTAGGACGAGATTTACATATCAACGTCTAATGAGGCTGATTTTCGTTGTTGTGTTTTTAGATTCAGCTACTCGGAACAAAAAGTTCCAAGTACCACGGGCTATGGTGATCCCGTGATGGATTTACCTGGCACAGCAGCAGGGCTGTATGTGGTATTGGGGTAGCGGGGGGGATGTTATCCTGGTTCTAGTCCTTTTATCCTTCTTGATCTCCTGATCATGTCACCTCTATTCCCGACTGCTGATGTACCTGCGGTAATGCCTTCTACAGAATTATGATCATGTGTCCTTTCAGTAATCAGTTCAAGTTCAAGTATATTTATTGAGACAAGAAAATACCTTTCAGTAATTTTGCTATTTTGGGAACTGGAGTTGTTATTAATAGTGTTGTTCATGTGGATGCTGTTCCGCGTAACTCACTCCATACCCAAAGGAACGCGGCTAATATCGGACGGCTTTCATTCATCCAGTTATTGATATTTAATTTTAATTCACTCAGAATCATTTTCCTAATAAAGCTATCCTCCGAAGCTTTTATTGCCAGCGAAAGTATTCAGAGTATTTATAAGAACCCCTTTTACTACCCTTCTAGTTGTAATATTATTACTTTTATAGATGATTTCACACTTCTGAAAATCCATATTGTGATCCTTTTCCCAACTATGGTTAGCTACAGTACTGTTACCAGTCATAATTCTACATGCTTTCTTATGTTCTTCCATTCTGATCTTGAAATCAGAATTGAAGAACAAAGTTGTGAAAAGGATCACAATATTGATTTTCAGAAGTGTGAAATAATCTATAAAATGTAATAATATGGTGGTGGAAATATATCTTAGTAGGAGCTCCACCGCCGCAGCACGAACACGAGCACGGCTCAGCCAAAGAAAAAACGGAAGACTTAGAAGTCGACACTAACCCACCAGGTCCATAACTGGTACAGCCGGAATCCACCACGAGGACCCACATCTATCGACAGATCTCTAGTATCAGCTATTAATACTGGTAATGGCTCGAAAGAGCCTCCACTTACGGCCTATTCATGCCCGTGTCACCTTTAGGGTGGCTTAATCCTAATCAATCATCATCTGCAGTCCTGCTCTTGAATTGTATTTACGCGTCCACGGACCCCATCCCCAGATTACCAGTATCAGCTATTGATACAGATAATGGCTCTAAAGAGCCTTCACTTATGGGTTCACCATAGTCCGTGCTACTTGGAACTTTTTGTTCTGAGTAGCTGAATCTAAAACAACAACAACAGATAACAGCATCATTAGGTGTTGAGATGTAAGTCTCGTCCTAATCACACATTCCGACCTGAACAAAGCACTCAGTAGAGTGCGAAAGACTTGGTGTAAATTCCTTAGATAAATTTCACAAATACACAAGGTGGGTTTTTAAACTATTATTATTATTATTATTATTATTATTATTATTAAAATGCATGTCCATTTAGCTTCCTTTCACAAGAATAAACTACAAAACAGGAAGTGCGGTTTAGGACAACGAAACATGTGTTTCCTTTGCACGTTTACGCCAATTTTGACGCTCTTATCCCTCAAAATATGGACAGATATGGAACGCATTCAGGTAGTAGGTTGGCGACCAAAACACAGTCACTTGAGTATTAAGTATTTCATTATTATTATTATTATTATCAAGCCTAATGTCTGGGATGTAACTGGCCTTTTCACTGTGTGAAAGAGTGACCATTGCACTGTAAATCAGGAGCCTTATAAGAGCCTCATGCCAGTCTGTACAAGTGAGTGGTATGATTTACATCTTGCTAAGAGCTTAATCAATATACAAAAAGTCAGAGCCTATGAGAGCTTACGCTTTTTATATTCTAGAGCGATAAAAAAGGATTGAAACTGTGGATGAAGGAAGCCATCAACGGAGCACTCATACGAATAATTGCTTGGCGCCAGTCTCTGCTCTACTGAGTAAGAGAGGTGGATTGGACTAGAAAATAAGAAGTGTCCCTGAGGAATCACTGCCATGGACAGTACGCCGTGAGGCGAGACATGTTGGTGGCAATGACCCAGAGGTTATGGACTCGCTCCATGTGGAATACCAGTTCTTGTTTCACTTTCAGCCCTAACATGTGGAGCACCAGCACGTGCTTCTCGTTCAGTTCTAACTTTTGGAACACAAGGACGTGCTTTACATTCAGTTCTAACATGTGGACCAGCAACAAGTACTGAACGTTCAGTTCTAACTTATGGAGCACCGATAAATGCTTTACGTTCAGTTCTAATTTGTGGAGCACCAACAAGTGTTTTAAGTTCAGTTCTAGCCTGTGGAGCACCAGTCCGTTCTTCACCTTCAGCTCAAATAGAAGGGCTCACTATACGTGTAAAGGGCGTCTCCCTTCCGTACCGACGCCACACATGCCGGCCCCAGGTTGTTCACATGCATCAGATACAGACAGGAATTAACACACCAAAGTTGGATAAATTATTCAATTGAATTGACAAACTCGTGGAAACAATTACTCGAGAGCACTAATACAACATTAAGAAGAACATGGACCAGCAACCTTTATTTTTTTCCTACGTCAAGAGGAATGTCTGGGCGCTTGGCGGGTGACATTCTTCTATCGAACTATATTATAAATAATATATGATAGTTCAAAACATTAAAACAAAGCTGTGAAATACGTGAATTTTATTTAAGTAACGTTTATATTTTCAGACACAGCAGTCATGTGAAAGTCTGTCTCTTTCTCTGCCCATCTCTGTGTCTGTCTCTTTGTCTGTGTTTCTGTCTCTGTCAGCCATGGTCTCTGTCTCTCTTGTGAAAACTATTGTGGGTACCCGGCGTTGTCCGGGCCTGTCTGTCTCCCATCTGTCTACCTGACCATCTGTCTGTCTCTCCATCTATCTATTCATCTATCTATATGTCTATTTATCTATTTGTCTATCCATTCAACTGTCTATCCATCCATCTATCAAACTATTTATCCTTTTATCCATCTATCCATCCATTCATCTCTCTATCGGACTATCCATGTGTCGGACTGTCTACCCATCTATCTACCAATCCATCAATCTACCAATCCATCTATTTAACACTATTTATCCATCCATCTACCCATCTAGCCGTTCATATATATCCGCCAATCATCTATCTATCCATGCATCTGAACATCCATCTACCCATCCATGTATCATTTTATCCATTCACCTATCCATCTGCCAATCTACCTCTCTACTTATTCATCTATTCATCCCTTCATACATCCATCCTTCTATCCATATATCTATCCATCTATCCATCCATATATATTTCAATCCATCCATCTCTGCATCCATCCATCCATCTATGTATACATGAATCTATCTATCCACATAGTTTTTTATAAATCTATCCATATATCTATTTAACTATCCATCTAATAATCTATCCAGCCAACACTTTTCATCTATCAATTTAACAATTTATCAATTCATGTATCCATCCATCTGCCTATCCATCTGTTCATCAATCTATTCATATATTTATCCATCCACCTATTTATCTATCCCTCCATCTATTAACTGTCTTTCTCTGTCTTTGTCTCAGCCTCTCCCAGTCTGTCTTTCTCTGTGTCTAGCAGGGTCTGTCTCTGTCGGTCTATGTGTCTTGCTGTATCTGTCTCTCCTTGTGCCTCTGTCTGACTCTGTCTCTTTCTAAGTGTCTGTCTCTTTCTCTTATATATATATATAAAAATCTAATGTCTGGGTGGTTACCAGTGAGAGGAGCTTAGTGATGTGAAATATTAAATAAATAGAATAGTTACCCCTTACTCTGAAAAAGACCTGTGGCTTGAGAAACCTTTAAAACTGAGTAAAGATTCGTCTATTTCATGCGAATTCGGGCAACTTTTTGATAGCAGGAAATATCTGTTATTTTTTCCTAAATCAATAATATGATTTGGTACCTGTTACCATACGATCTTTTTTCTCATGTTTGAAAATATTTAGCTCTGTAGTTGGCGCGGCAGCTCCAAAAATCATCGTGGGGGTCTGAATGTGACTCTGGCACGTTGTTCTCTTTTGAATTCTGGCGACACCGACCAGCCTATGTTCAAGTCGTACCCCAGACCCTTCCCTCTGCCAGTTTGGTTGCATCTAGCCCCTACCGCATGCCTTCCAACTTTGATCAGATGAACAGACAGACATTCTCTCTTGTAGTATTGACTTGGAGGGCTACGCGCCGTTGCTCGGTTATGTCTATCTGTCTCCCATCTGTCTATCCATCCATCTATCTCTAATTATCTATCCATCTATCTATCTCTAATTATCTATCCATCCATCTATAATTATCTATCTATCCATCCATCTATAATTATCTATCTATCCATCCATCTATAATTATCTATCTATCCATCCATCCATCTATTCATCCATCAATCAATCCATCCATCAATCCATCCATCCATCTATCAATCTATCTATCTATCTGTCTATATAATATATCCATTTATCTATCAAACTATCTATCCACCCATCTATTTAAAAATCTATATATCCATCTCTTTACCCATCTACCCGTCTATCCACTCATCTATGTATCCATCTATAGATTTATCCATCCTTCTGTCCATCCATCTATCCATCTACCTATTCTATTATAAATATAAATAATATTCAAATATAAATAATAACGCATTAGAAGCTAACTCTTATTCATCAGAGATTTTCAGCGGCTTCAGAATGAAACTTTTAGCATCTTTATAAAGTTGGAAGTTGCTTCACTATGAATTAATTATAAAAAAAATTATTTTACTTACTTAAATTAAGTAAAGAAAGGGTAATAATCTTCAGCAGGCTTTTGGGTGTATCACGTATCAACAGGATGAAATAACACTTATTTAATGCCGTATGACTTTACTGGTAGATGAACAGAAGTGGTACAAGAATTCTTATCAATCACCAAGTAGTGACGGACGGTTCAGAGCGGGGAGATAGTTCAGAGGCTCTTAATCAGTAGAGAGGCCATTATACAGTTCAGATGACAGTCGTTCCTATACCATAGTTGATGGTAGACAAGCTAAATCTTGGGAAGATTAGCCGAAGTAACTCTTCTTCTGCGGGAAGATGTTGGAAGATGAACCATAACCCCCGTTGTAGAAAGGGGTTCCATAAAAGCCACGACCACCGCCAAAACCGTTCCCTATGCCTCCGAGACCTCTGAGACCTCCGAGGGCACCAACGATCCCAAGAGCCTTCAGTCCTCCAAGAGCCGCAAGAGCCTTCAGGCCCAAGAGTCCTCCGATGTCGTCTTGACCACCAACGTTACCATAACCGCCTGATTGCCTGAAACCACTCTTGCCTCCAAGGCCTCCGAGACCTCCGAGGCCTTTGATGCCTAGAAGACCAAGGGGATGAAGGGGCTTAGCCACAGGGCTTGGAACAGTTTCCGGGATGATTCCAGCAAGCACCACCAACACGACCACGACCTGCCGATGAATTGTAAACATTTACACATTACACGTCTAGTAACACCCGCCGTTTAATTTATAATGTTTAATTTTTAATGTAAATTTCAGCGGATATATATATATATATATATATATATATATATATATATATATATATATATATATATATATATATATATATATATATATATATATATATATATATATATATATATATATATATATATATATATATATATATATATATATATATATATATATATATATATATATATAATATATACCTTCAGTATTACAGTCATATATATATATATATCCGCTGAAATTTACATATTTGATACCAAAATTAAACCAAATACTCATTTGTAAATCGATTATGAGCTGTGGGAACAGTGCTATGAAGAAAGACTGAGGGAAACGGACCTCATCATACTGGAGGAAAGAAGGAGTAAGGCAAACATTATAGAAACATGCAAAATTCTAAGAGGAATTGATCATGTAGACATAAGCAATGTTCAAAGTGAGGAACAGCAGAACGAGGGTCATGGGAACTGGAGAAACAAAGAAGTCCTCGAGATGTTAGATAAAAGTATTTTACTGTAATGATAGTTAATAAGAATAATGGATAGATGATTATAAAACGAGTTGAAAAAATCACTGCATTTAACAATTCTTGGTCAAAATGTAGGGCTCGACCCTGCAAGCACTTATTGGTGAGTATGGCTTAGTAATTACACTCACACACACACACACATTTTCACACATATGTGTTTACGCATAATAACCAAAATTAAAATTATGAGTTCATTCAACTCCAAACCAAAACTCAAAATTAATCTCATATTTAGTAAGAAAGCATCAAAAGGACCACTAAACAGAAGGTTTAACATTGAAAGATGGTATAATAAGACTCACCAGAACATTCATGGCTACTAAGTGTCAATACTTGGCTGCTGGAGAGAGATGTGTGAGTGTGTGGAGACTGTGTACCTATATATACCAAACCATCGAGGCGCCGAGGCCGTATGGGTAACCTTCAGTCATGACACCCTTACAATGTTGAATGCTTTGACACCATAAAGGTTCCGAGCAAGGTCACCTTCTTCACAGTATCCTTAGCTTGCATATCTGCTCAGTTGGAGAATTTTCTTTTATGCAATATCACTGAAACTGAACTGTATGTTTGTACTTACTACCCCCCCCCCCTCCACCCATGGAAGAAAGCAGAGAAAACGTTTCAGTTCTTAAACAAAACAGAGTCTCTGCATGCACATTTTATATTATGTTGGTCTTTCCCTCACTGTGTGTGTGGAAGGGTATATATTCTACGTTGTAAAATAGGAGGACTGCATGTGCGTTTAATCAAGCTCAGTATGTTGTTGAGTCTGAGCAGTTGGCAAGGATTTAAGATGATGGTGTTCCTGTTTTTGCGTAAAAACATTAATCATAAATAGATGAAATTATTTATAATGTAGTAGATTGGTTGGGAGTTCTCAGAAGAACAACACTAATTCGAAGAGCGCGAGAAGATATGAGGGACCCTATCAACAATAACTATAATGAAATGCTTTGTCCTTTGTCATTTGAAGACAATTTATATGTAATAAGAAGGCTGTGTCATCATTTGGGTATCTTGGGCAGTACTCACATAGTTGTGCTTGCGGGGGTTAAGCTTCGGCTCTTTGGTCCCGCCTCTCAACTGTCAATCTACTGGTGTACAGATGCCTAAGTTTATTCGACTCAATTATATTTAAATTTGAAACTGTGTATGGAGCCAGCCTCCACTACATCTCTGCCTAATGCATTCCATTTATTAACTACTCTGACACTGAAAAAGTTCTTTCTAATGTCTCTGTGGGTCAATTGGGTACTGAACTTCCACTTGTGTCCCAATGTACAAGTACCACCTGTGTAAAATAATCTGTTCTTGTCTTCCCTGTCAATTCCCCTGCGAATTGTGTATGTGGTAATCATGTCTCCCCGAAATCTCCTGTGTTCCAGCGACGTGAGGTGAAATTTACGAAGCCTTTCATCGAAACTCATGCCTCTTAGTTCTGGGACTAGTCTAGTGATATATATTTGAACCTTCTCCAACTTCGTCCTGTGCTTGACAAAGTATGAGCTCCATGTTGGAGCCGTATTCTCCAGGATTTGTCTTACATATGTGGTATACAAGATTTTAAATTATTCCTTACACGTCAGGTTGTACATTGTGCGAGCCTAGACACACTTGGTGGTACACTGGGTGAACCTTGGCCCGCTAGGTGTTCGCTGGGTGAGCCTAGACACGCTTGCTGCTACACTGGGTGAATCTTGACCCGCTAGGTGTACGATAGGATGTCCCATCCAATAGACTATTATTACGTAACATTTGGCCACGATTACGTCATATTTCACCACTGTTACGTCATATCTGACGACTGTTAAGTCAGATATTATCACCTGGAGCCACGCCTACTGACACTGGTGGGCCATACATGAGTCAGAGTGATGTTAGGGAGAGTATTAGCGTCAGTAGGGCCAATTAAATATCTTAGTGGATGAAATAACTGATGCTAATACAAATATTCAGTATCCTATATAAAAAGAAACAGAAGAGTCGGGAGCCATTATGTTATGGGACCCACACGTGGGAGGACGGAACTCGGGAGCTAACGTTCGATCTTGAAAGCACACGTTGTTTTTGTATGTGTAACCTTCCACACCTGAAATCATACCAGTGGCACAGTGCACCTGATTATTTATTTAGGTATTCCCGCTTGATATCTAGAGTCACACCGGCTTCCCTCAAATTGTAAATCATATCATTGAATAAGATGCATGGAAATATACACAGAGATATATATACCCCGCTATTCGGTGTATATACGCAGTTCAGGACTCAAGTACATTTGCGGGTTGGTCAGTAAGCTAGTGCGGTAGCTTGAATAACCCTTCTGGGGCTTATAGGCCTTAAGCCCAACACAAGATTACAACATAAGATTAATTCGAGCATGCAAGATAATTATACTGTGTGTTGGGATGGCACTGGTCGTATTAGGACTACGCAAATCTTAATAAAAAAAACTGTGATCATATCTAACATTTATTGTTTCAGGAACACACAGGTGGGTACCTGAAGGACAGTTCTCAGTATGACAAGTCAAGTCGGTACTTGCTCTAGCGTGTGATCATGCCTCGTTGGTCCTCTATTTGGGCTGGATGTTGCCGCGTGTGACATGCGGGCCAGTTGTCCGTGTCTATTAGAGTGCATATTTAAGTTCGTCATTGCTAAAGTAATTTACTAGTTATAGCTTTCTTGTTTATAATTCAACCCTCGCACATGGAAACTGGAACACACAAATGTATGTAAACGCACATTCAAACACACACACACACACACACACACACACATACACATATGCCGAACCATAGGTATAGACGAGTCAGGGGGACATGAGGAAGTAATGCTTGTGACTCCGAAAAGTAGTGTTTCAACACATATGACCTTCCACAACCCATAAGGAATCTTTCCTGTGTTACCTTTCCCAATGTTTTGACCAGCAGGTGACGGCAGCCCATCAGTAACCCATAAACCAAAATGTTTGTTAACTCAGCTGTTGCTCCGCGTGTTCATGAATGCAGAACATTTTGCTTCTTGTGTGGTTGCGTCCTGGGGAGGGTCAGCAATTCATTCCTTGGGATACCTTGATATAAACCTAACATGTAAACAAATAAATAAAAAAAAAAAAAAAAATATATATATATATATATATATATATATATATATATATATATATATATATATATATATATATATATATATATATATTAGTATATTTTGGTAGCAGTCTTTCCTGTAGACATATATTATTAAATATGACCGAAAAAGTAAGATTAATAATTCTAACACGAATTTTCTCAATCTTTCGTACATTTCGTTTCACTGTTGGAGGTAAATCAAAAATCAATTCTCCAAAATTCATTTTTATTTCTAGTCTGACGCGACACGAGCGCGTTTCGTAAAACTTATTACATTTTCAAAGACTTTAGTTCACAAATACACAACTGAATAGAACTTACGCATCTCCGTTTTTATATCTACATTTGAGTGAGGTGGAAGGGGTGATGTGGCATTAACACAAGACAGAACAAGATGTGGTATTAATAGGGTATTAATTTCATCAACACAAGACAGAACAAGAGTATTAATAGGGTATTAATTTCATCAACACAAGACAGAACACGAAACAACGGATATTGAATAGAAGTGTTTGTAGAAAGCCTATTGGTCCATATTTCTTGATGCTTCTATATTGGAGCGGAGTCTTGAGGTGGGTAGAATATAGTTGTGCAATAATTGGTTGTTGATTGCTGGTGTTGACTTCTTGATGTGTAGTGCCTCGCAAACGTCAAGCCGCCTGCTATCGCTGTATCTATCGATAATTTCTGTGTTGTTTACTAGGATTTCTCTGGCGATGGTTTGGTTGTGGGAAGAGATTATATGTTCCTTAATGGAGCCCTGTTGCTTATGCATCGTTAAACGCCTAGAAAGAGATGTTGTTGTCTTGCCTATATACTGGGTTTTTTGGAGCTTACAGTCCCCAAGAGGGCATTTGAAGGCATAGACGACGTTAGTCTCTTTTAAAGCGTTCTGTTTTGTGTCTGGAGAGTTTCTCATGAGTAGGCTGGCCGTTTTTCTGGTTTTATAGTAAATCGTCAGTTGTATCCTCTGATTTTTGTCTGTAGGGATAACGTTTCTATTAACAATATCTTTCAGGACCCTTTCCTCCGTTTTATGAGCTGTGGAAAAGAAGTTCCTGTAAAATAGTCTAATAGGGGGTATAGGTGTTGTGTTAGTTGTCTCTTCAGAGGTTGCATGGCTTTTCACTTTCCTTCTTATGATGTCTTCGACGAAACCATTGGAGAAGCCGTTATTGACTAGGACCTGCCTTACCCTACAGAGTTCTTCGTCGACTTGCTTCCATTCTGAGCTGTGGCTGAGAGCACGGTCGACATATGCGTTAACAACACTCCTCTTGTACCTGTCTGGGCAGTCGCTGTTGGCATTTAGGCACATTCCTATGTTTGTTTCCTTAGTGTAGACTGCAGTGTGGAAACCACCGCCCTTTTCCATGACTGTTACATCTAGAAAGGGCAGCTTCCCATCCTTTTCCATCTCGTAAGTGAAACGCAGCACGGAACTCTGCTCAAATGCCTCCTTCAGCTCCTGCAGATGTCTAACATCAGGTACCTGTGTAAAAATGTCGTCAACATACCTGCAGTATATGGCCGGTTTCAAGTTCATGTCGACTAAGACTTTTTGCTCGATGGTACCCATGTAGAAGTTTGCAAACAACTCCCCTAGGAGTCCTGTTTGCAAACTTCTACATGGGTACCATCGAGCAAAAAGTCTTAGTCGACATGAACTTGAAACCGGCCATATACTGCAGGTATGTTGACGACATTTTTACACAGGTACCTGATGTTAGACATCTGCAGGAGCTGAAGGAGGCATTTGAGCAGAGTTCCGTGCTGCGTTTCACTTACGAGATGGAAAAGGATGGGAAGCTGCCCTTTCTAGATGTAACAGTCATGGAAAAGGGCGGAGGTTTCCACACTGCAGTCTACACTAAGGAAACAAACATAGGAATGTGCCTAAATGCCAACAGCGACTGCCCAGACAGGTACAAGAGGAGTGTTGTTAACGCATATGTCGACCGTGCTCTCAGCCACAGCTCAGAATGGAAGCAAGTCGACGAAGAACTCTGTAGGGTAAGGCAGGTCCTAGTCAATAACGGCTTCTCCAATGGTTTCGTCGAAGACATCATAAGAAGGAAAGTGAAAAGCCATGCAACCTCTGAAGAGACAACTAACACAACACCTATACCCCCTATTAGACTATTTTACAGGAACTTCTTTTCCACAGCTCATAAAACGGAGGAAAGGGTCCTGAAAGATATTGTTAATAGAAACGTTATCCCT